AAAGGACAGAAACCATATGATTATTTCAATCAATGCTGAATAAACATTCCACAAAATTCACCACCCATTCATGATAAAAATTCTCAAAAAACTGGGTATAGAAGAAATATAACATCATCAAAGCCATATATGACAGAGCCACAGCTAGTATTAATACAAAACTGAATGGGGAAAAACTGAATGCCTCTAAGATCTGGAACAAGACAAGGATCCCCACTTTCTCCACTGTTATTCAGAATAGTACTGGAAGTTCTAGCTAAAGCAGTCAGACAAGAGAAAGAAAGAAAGAAAGAGAAAAAGAGAGAAAGAAAGAGAGAGAGAAAGAGAGAAAGAAAGAGAGAGAGAGAGAGAGAGAAGGAAGGAAGGAAGGAAGGAAGGAAGGAAGGAAGGAAGGGCATCCACATCAGAAAGGAAGACGTTAAATTATCTTTGTTTGTAGGCCATATGATGTTATATTTAGAGAAACCTAAAGACTCTACCCCAAAACTACTAGAACTGAAAAACAAATTCAGTAAAGTTGTAGGATAGAAAATCGACATACAAAAATCAGTAGCATTTCTATATGCCAACAGTGAACAATCTGAAAAAGAAACCAAGAAAGTAATCCCATTTACAATAGCTAAAATTAAATAAAGTACCTATTAATAAAATTAACTAAATAAGTGAAACATCTCTACAATGAAATCCATAAAACATTGATAAAAGAAACTGAGGACGACATAAAAAGGGGGAAGATATTCTATGCTCATGGATTGGAAGAATCAATATTGTTAAAATGTCTATACTACACAAAGTAATCTACAGATTCAATGCAATCCCCATCAAAATACCAACGACGTTCTTCACAGAAATACAAAAAATAATCCTAAAATTTATATTGAACCACAAAAGACCCAGAATAGCCAAAGTCTTCCAGAGTAAAAAGAACAAAACTGTAGGAATCACATTACCTGGCTTCAAATTATACTACAGAGCTGTAGTAACCCAAACAGCATGGTACTGGATCAAAAACAGACACATTGACTAGTGAAACAGAATAGAGAATTCAGAAATAAATCCACATATCTATAGTCTCCCATCCAAGTACTAACCAAGCTAAACCCTGTTCAGCTTCCAAGATCAGATGAGATCGGAAACATTCAGGGTGGCATGGCCATACACTATAGTGAAGTCGTTTTCGACAAAGATGCCAAGAACCTACATTGTGGAAAGGACAGTCTCTTCAATAAATGGTGCTGGGAAAACTGGATATCTATATACAGAAGAATGAAACTAGACCCCTATCTCTTGCCATACACAGGAATTAAATCAAAAAGGATTAAAGACTTAAATCTACAACCCAAAACTGGGAAAACACTAAAAGAAAACATTTGAAAAATGCTCCAGGACATTGAACTGGGGGCAACAATTTCTTGATAACTCTAAAGCACAGACAACCAAAGGAAAAGTGGGCAAATGGGATCACATCAAGCTAAATAGCTTCTGCCCAGCAAAAGAAACAATGAATAAAGTGAAGAGACAACCCACAGAATGAGAGAAAATATTTGCAAACTACCCATCTGACAAGGGAATAATAACTAGAATATAAAAGGAGCTCCAATAACTCAATAGAAAAAAATAAAATAATCTAATTTAAAAATGGGCAAAAGATCTGAATAGACATTTCTCAAAAGAAGATATACAGATGCCCAAAGGTATATGAAAAAATGCTCAGCATCATTAGTCATCAGAGAAATGCAAAAAAAGCACAACGAGATATTATCTCAACCCAGTTAAAATGGCTTTTATCAAAAAGACAGGCAATAACAAATGCTGGTGAGGATGTGGAGAAAGGGGAACACTCGTACTCTGTTGATGGGAATGTAAATTAGTGCAACCACTGTGTAAAACAGGATGGGTGGTTCCTCAAAGAGCTAATGATGAACTACCATATGACCCAGCTATCCCACTGCTCTGTATATATCCAAAAGAAAAGAAGTCAGTATATTGAAAAAATACCTGCACTCACATGTTCATTGCAGCACTATTCACAGTAGCCAAGATGTGGACTCAACCTATGTGTCCATCAACATAGGAATGGATAAAAAAATGTGGTACAAATACACAATGGAATATTATTCACCCACTAAAAAGAATGAAATCCTGTCATTTGCCACAACATGGATTGACCTGGAGAACATTATGTTAAGTGAAATAAGCCAAGCATGGAAAGACAATTCTTACACAATCACTCATTTGTGGGAGCTAAATATTAAAGCAATTGATCTCCTGGAGACAGAGAGTAAAATGATGGTTACCAGAGTCTGGGAAAGGTAGCAGGGAGGAGGAGATAAAGTGGGAATGGTTAATGGGTGCAAAAATATTTTTAGATAATTAGGTAGAAGGAAAAATATTTGATAGCACAACAAAGTGACTATAATCAATAATAAGTTAGGGTATATACTTCAAAATAACTAATGAAGTGGAATTGTAATATTCCTAACACAGAGAAATGATAAATGCTTGAGGTGATGGATACCCCAATTACCCAGATTTGATTATTATACATTGTATGCCTATATCAAAACAACACATGTACCCTACAAATATATTCAACTATTATGTACCCACAATAACTTAAAATAGAAAATTAATTAAAAACATAATGCATAAAAGGAAAATTTAATAAATTATATTTTATCAAAACTAAGACCTTTTTCTCTGTGGAAGATCTTGTTTAGAGGATGAAAAAACAAGCTACAGAGTGGGAGAAAACATTTCAAACCATATTTGATAAAAGATTATTAGCTAGAATATAAAAAATAGTCTCCAAACTAAACATATAAAAATTTTGAAAATTAGCAAAAGATATGCACATTTCACCACGAAGGATGCATAGATGACAATAAACACACAAGAAAGATGACTCATGAGTCATCAGGGAAGTGCAAATTAAAACCCCAAGGAGATATGCCACTACATGACTCTTATAATAGCCAAAATGAAAAACATTGACCATACGAAATGTTCGTGAGAATGTCAAGGAACTGGAACTCAATCATGGAAGTGTAAATAGTGTAAACATTTTGGAAAATTGTTTGGTGGTTTTCTAAAGAGTTAAACTTACCCCTACCATATGATCCAGCCATTCCAATTTTATGTATGTAGTCAAGAGAAAAGGAAATAATTTTCTATACAGAGACTTGCACACAAAAGAGCATAGCATCTTTATTTGACAAAAACTGGAAACAGCTCAAATGTTTATTAGCAAGTGGATAAACAAACTGTGGTGTATCCCTATAATTAAATACTACTCAGCAATAAAGAGAAATGAACATGAAATAACAAGGATAAAGTTTGAAACTATTTTGCTGAGTGAAAGAGGCCAGACAGAAAAAAGTACACATTTGATGATTCAATTATGTAAAAGCCTATAAAATGACAATTAATCAATAGTTACAGAAAGCATACTTATGGTTGCCTGGGGACGAGAGGCTAGGAGGGGATACAGTGAAGGATTACAAAGAAAACTCTCTACGATGGAGTGCATCATAAACAACAACAACAAAAAACTCTCGGTTGTGATGGATGTGTTCACTGCCTTGACTGTGATGATGGTTTCAGCTATGTATATGTATATCAAAACAATTGTACAGTTTAAATATGTGTAGCTCTTAGTATGTCAATTTTACCTCAATAAAATTGTTTTCAAAAAAGTTGTGGTATGTTTTGTGGGAGAGAGAGGTGAAGAGAAAAGGAAGACAAGAGAAATAAAAGGAACAAAGGTAAGGGAACAAAGTCTTTATTTCTTTATTGAGCAGGTGAACAACTACTTCAGAATTTCTGTTCTATTCATTCTTTTTCTTTCTCCTCATTTTCTAGTCTTACTGAATGATTTTGTTTAAACTTCCACTCCCAACTCTGGAGAAGGATGTAATCTTACTTCTCAACAGTCAAAGGCAGTATTTTACCTACTCAGCATAGTCATTTCTAGTTGAAGAGGCCATTTTATTCCTTGATAGGGTACAGGGACTCATTTACCTTACCTTGGTTTATAAGCAATCTCAGTTTTCTTACCTTAGAAAACAATTATCCAGGCCGGGCGTGGTGGCTCACACCTGTAATTCTAGCACTCTGGGAGGCTGAGGTGGGTGTATCGCTCGAGGTCAGGAGTTTGAAACCAGCCTGAGCAAGAGCGAGACCCCGTCTCTACTATAAATAGAAATAAATTAATTGGCCAACTAATATATATATAAAATTAGCCGGGCATGGTGGCGCATGCCTGTAGTCCCAGCTACTTGGGAGGCTGAGGCAGAAGGATTGCTTGAGCCCAGGAGTTTGAGGTTGCTGTGAGCTAGGCTGACGTCACGGCACTCACTCTAGCCTGGGCAACAAAGCGAGATTCTGTCTCAAAAAAAAAAAATTTTTTTTGGAAAATCACTTAATATACAATATTAGGAAAATCAGAAAATCATGGTATATTAATTTGATTAAATGTTATATATCCCTTAAAACTGATAACTGTGAAGACTAGCAATATAGGTTAATATGTATAAAACATAATTAAATGTAAATAATAGAACATGAAATTCTATATAAGTTATGATCACAACTATGTATATATACAAAAAGATAAATTTCTATGTTATATGGAACATAAGAAAATGAAAATAGCTGTATAAGTATGGTGAATTATGGGTGTTCTCTTTTAAATTTTTATAAATTGTTATTTTAATAACTTTTAAAGTGGATTTTCAATTTTCTAGTGTAGTTCACCACCCTCTCAGACTCTTCATCCCATGTGTGAAATTTCTAATGTGTAGGAAAAAGTGAGAATATTGATTTCTACTCTATTGATCAACACTGATAGTAAAATGCCCTTAGAAGTCAATAGAAAGTGTATTGTGTTTTGGTTGCTTCAAAAAGAAACCAATAAATCTTTTGTTTGTTTCTAGATGTTTCTTGGGATAAATAGGATGGAGATATCTGTGTGATTTTTTTTTGTTTCCTTTTAAATTTAGGTACAAAATTATGCCGATGCCCTACACTGGTACTGTTATTCTCTGAGGTTTTATTCATCTGATCACACAGATCTGAACTTGGCCAAGCTGCAGAGGAACATGGCTTCCTGTTACCTGCATTTGAAACAAGTTGATAAGGTACTTTGATTTATCTATTTTCAGAGGCAGTAAATGTTCTTATGTGCAGTGGCAGAAAGATAGATGCAGTGTTATGACTTCTTGGCTGTTAGTTTAGGATATCTGAGAGTTCCCTCATACAGAGCAATATGAACATTTTCTTGATTTGCAAACTGTAAACATTGAGTAGAACTTCCCAAAGGGAGAGAGAATTTGGAAGACCATTAGTCCCATTACTTACTGTTTATTTTTGCATCCCATTTTGAAAGGTTATGTATCATTGGAACTCCTGAACAAAGTTCTCTGCTACTGACCATCTGCATTATTGTCCTTTGAAGCAGACTGAATTTTAAGATACACATTTTTATCAAACATTCATTGAGAGCAAATACTTGGAGGAAGTGGCCTTTCTTTCACTTTCTGGGTTGTTATCTCTTTCCTTTCCAACAGCTCTAGAAAATGTTCATTGACTGATTTCTTATCAGGACAAAACTCTAGCAGGTAAAAGAGATAAAAACTTATTTAAGGGTAGAGTCATTTATACTTCCCAAAGCAGCTGGGACATTTCTTCCTTTGGGTATCATATAGTGTGCACATAATGCAGGGTATTGGCTCTTGGCAGGACACAAAACTAGAAGGATTAGTGTGGACCCAAGTGAAATATGATAATTTTTGTTGCCTTTTAAGTTTTAATGACAGGTGTAGGGAGAAATATGTGATTAAGGGTAGTTTTTCTAGACATTTTCTTTGAAGGTTTGTTTATCTTTGAAGGGTTATTTATCTGGCTGAATACTTCATATTTTCTTTCAAAAGAATTTTGCTACTTAGCTTGTATGTTATAAATTGATAGTCCTGGAAGAGAAGCTGAAATGCTACTGAATTCATCATATTGATACACAGGCTAACATTTAACTGTTCAGAAAGATTGTTACCTACTATTTAAGACCTGAAAAGATTTTCACACAGATTTTGTTATCTAATTCATTACATTTCTGCACAGGGTAGCATTAACTATTTCATAAAGATAGCTGCCTACTGTTTACTTAAAGATCTGTATAAAAGGTGATCATACAGCTTTTGTAATTTCCATGATTTATGACATGGTGGGCCTGGCTGATTGAGAAGGATGTGGATCTGGAACCACTTGGGGAACAGATGCATCTGTAGGCCAAGGAAGGATATCTAATCAGCTAGTCAAGAAAGAGAGAAAGAACACATTACCAGACAATGTGCTAGGCTCTGAGGTTAAAGAAATACACAAGGCATAGTTGCCTTCAACTCACCCAAGAAGCTGCCATCACAATATCCTAATGGGCAGATAAGCAGAGCATGGAAAAGCAGAGCATGGTGTTAGAAATATTCCATAAATCAGGCACACAGTTAGTTGGCATCACATAAGCAAATCAGCAGAGAACAGAGCTTTAATCACAGAGGTTTGAACTCAGAGGTAGTACTCAAAATCTTTGAGGTATGGGGGTGTGTGTAGACAGACTAGAAAGAGCAAGGTAGGGCTCTAAACCTAAAAGGACTGGGAGTACTTCTTAAATCTCCTCTAATGTTAAGTTTGGTCCTAGAGCCTAGTATAATTGGGACTTCAAATGGTATTAGTAGTAACGAGGAGAACAGGAGAGCAGGAAACCAGGCATATTTTAACAGCATGTATTCAATGTGTAACTGAATGATTTAAGGGCAGGGTGGTGGTGAAGGCAAAGTTATTTTGTAAAGAACCGCAGTGAATGTTTTAGGTTTTGCAGGCCATATAGTCTCTGTTGCAATTACTCAACTCTGCTGTTGTACCATGAAAGCAACCCTAGACAATATGTAAACAAATGGGCATGATATGTTCCAATAAATCTTTATATTTTAGAATACTGAAATTTGAACTTCATGTAATTTTATAATTTTCATGTGTCAAAAAATATTCTTTTGATTTATTTCAACCATTTAAAAATAGAAAGCCATTCTTAGTGTGTGAGCTGTACAAAAACATATGGTGGGCTGGATTTGCCAAAAGGCCATGGTTTTTTGCCTTCCGGTGTACTAAACAGTGATAAGTGCAAGGAGAAAACTAAGCATGAAAGTATAATATTAAATGTTTTGGAATAGGGTGTTTGGAATTTTAGATAGGGTGGTCAGGGAAGTCTTCACTGAGAAGGTAATTTTTTAGTGGAGAACTGAGAAAAAAGAGCATTCCAGACAGAAGGAATAGCAAGTGCAAAGGCCCTGGGTGTTTAAAGAATTGCAAAGAGGCCAGGCACAGTGGCTCACGCCTGTAATCCTAGCACTCTGGGAAGCTGAGGTAGGAGAATCACTTGAGCTCAGGAGTCTGAGACCACCCTGGGCAAGAGTGAGACCCTGTCTCTACTAAAAATGGAAAAATTAGTGTGGTCCAGGCTGCTTGGGAAGCTGAGGCAGGAAGTTTGCTTGAGCCTGGGAGTTTGAGGTTGCAGTGAGCTATGATGATTCCACTGCACTATAACCTGGGCAACAAGAACGAGACACTGTCTCAAAAAAATAAAGTAAAATAAAGAATGGCAAACAAACCAGTGTGGCTGGAGCAGAGGGAACATTAGGGGAAGTAGGAGGTGTGATCAGGGAAGTAGTAGTGTCTTAGTTCATTTTGTGTTGTTATAACAGAATACCTGAAAACTGGGCAATTTATAAAGAAAAGAGGTTTACTTAGCTGATGGTTCTGCAGGCTAGGAAGTTCAATGGGTACGGTGCTGGCATCTGCTTGGCTTCTGGTGAGGGCTTTTGTGCTGGGCCAAAGCATGGTGGAAGGTCAAAGGGTAAGCAGACATGTATGAAGAGAAAAAACCGAAAAGCAGTCTTGACTTTGTAACAACTCACTCTCTTGGGAAGTAATCCATCTGCGTGAAAACAAATCCATTCATATGAGAATGAGAACTCACTACTGCAAGAACAGCACTAAGCCATTCATAAGGGATCTTCCCCCATGACCCAAACAGTTCCCACTAGGCCCCACCTCACAACACTGGCCACACTGGGAATTAAATTTCAACATGAGTTTTGTTGGGGACAAACCATAGCAAGTGGGGAAATAGATCATTTAAGAAAGGCATTGTATGAACACTGTTTGAGTGATGGGCACATTTATAGCCCTGACTCAAGTAAGCTATGTATCTAAAACATCACCACCCCTTTAAATTTTTGAAATATAAAAGTTTAAAATAAAAGAAAGGCATTGTAGTTTACAGTAAAGATTTATGATATTAACTTTAAGTGAGATGAGGAGCCGTTGGAGGGTTTTGAGTGACACGATCTGATTTGTATTTTAGTAGTATCACTCTAGTGGCTGTGTTGAAAACACTGGGGTGAAATGGTAGAAACAGGAAGACCAGTTAGGAGGCCATTCAAATAATCTGCAAGAGAGATGATGGTGGTGTGGACCAGGGTGGAGACAATGTGGGTGATAAGAAGTGGTCAGATTCTAGAGAGATTATAAAAGTAAAGCTAACAGGATTCGGTGACATACCAGATGTAGGATAGAAGAGAAAGGAGAAACAAGGTTTTTGGCCTCACTACCTACTCCTCTCTTGATGATTTTTGCATCTATAATTCTATAAACTACTCTTTTGAAAATTATTAGAGACCTTGTAGTGATCAAGTCTAATAATCTTTTCTCAGTCTTTCTTATCCTCTGATATCTTTGCAGCACAAAATAATATATCACTGACCACTTCCTCCTGGTAACTTTCCCTTTGGCTTCTATGACATCTACTGTTAATCCTATTGTTCTGACTATTCCTTTTCTATTTTTTGTTACTGGCTAGTCCTCTTTTCACCAAATAAATGTTGGATATTGTACCATGTATATCTTTTCACCATTTTATTTCTGGTACCCACAATCATGCTTGGTACATGGTAAGTTTTCAGTGAACATTTGTTGAATGAATTTATTCGCTGGTCCCTTCTTTTCTTTCTCTCCCCTCAATAATTCATCAAGTGTTTTCTTAGCTTTAACTCTCCATTCTCAAACCTATATCTCTACCCCTGATTTCTCTCATATGTCAGATCCACTTTTTCTACTGCTTTTGGGTATATCCAGCTATCTAAGACTGTATTCAATCATGTGTCAAGTCTGGTCAATTCTACCTCTGTAGTAGTATTTCTTTTTTTGCCAGCTGTCTCCTCTTTCATTTTCACCTCAGCACTCTAATCCAAGTCCTCATTACCTCTAAGACTATTGGAATAATCTTCTAACTGGTTATTGTCTCTTGCTCAGTAATCTTCAATGGTTCCCTGTACATAAAGACCAAATTCCTTAGCACTTAAGGCTCCTCCATAATCTATAAATAAATTAATCCTATTTTTTCTCTTTACTTATATACTATGTTTGTCCTCAACTAGACTACCTTAGTACTTTTTTTTCATGCTTCTTAATTGCCAATTATCTCTTCTCAGCATCCCTACCCTTCGAAATTCCCTTTTTCAAAGCCTAGTTCTTAATGACAATCTTAGCTTCCTAAGGAAATTTCCTTGTCTTGCCCTCCCTCCAAAATTTTATAAAGATTTCTGTTTATCCTTAGGTACTTATTTTATGCCTTATATTTTAGTTTATTTGTATTCCTGTCTTAGCCACCTGTTAGACTGCCGCCTGTTTGAGAGACAGGAACCATAACTTATCTTTATTTGCCCTGGTATCCAGCATAGTGCTTAATGCATAGTAGATACTCACTACATCAAAAAAAATAGTAATAGAGACCCAATAAATTGCTGTCAGTAAATTTCCTCTGATATAGGAATTCCATTTGCTCATTCTGTTTTTTTATTTCAAAATATTGAGGGGGTACAAATGTTTTTGGTTACATAGATCACTTTAGTAATGCTTGAGTCATGGCTACAAGTGTGCCCATCACCCAAATAGTGTTCATTGTACCCATTAGGTAGGTTTTGCCTCTCCTGCCTGCTTGATTTCCACTGAGTTTTACTTCCCTCTTGTGCACATGTGTGCTCATCAGTTAGTTCCAATTTAATAGTGAGGACATGTGGTGTTTGTT